GGGTACGTATTTTAAAATGTATGCAGTGGTATATATGTATATATATATTATATTAGTAGCGCGCATTTCCTAACGAGTATAGCGATGGCGTGCATCCGCGAAAAAAGATCAGAGAGATGCGTTAAAAAAAGGAAGTCACCCTACAAAAGAATCATAACGTCCGAAAGACCAAAAGCGCTTCGCCGCTTCTAACACACTTAGAGAAGGAGAAAGAACGTAACTGGCGACAAATGTCAACGCAGCAAACACTCGCCCGTAACAAATTAAAATCAGGCACGCTTCATCGTGTAGAGTCGAAAACTTTTGAAAGAAGGCGCAGCTTTCTATCTGACTATATGTGTAAGAGAAGAGTCAGCAATGGATGGAAAGTGATCGTTCCCGGGGGTCGTTCAACGAGCGTGATCGGCAAGTAACGTACTGCGAATAGAACTATATACATTGCGGAGGTGGATGTGGAGAACAAATATAAAGCAGAGAAAAGGTAGAGATGAGAATTAATCAATTGAAAGAAAGAAATATAAAGATAATAGTATTAATCATTTCGAAACAAACTTTACAACTAATAATAATAATAATATAGTGTATTTGACAGAGAGAAAGAGAGGAAACTCATTTTTTCAGTTATTACTCTAGGATTTTATTTCATTAATGATATAAGACTGAGAAATTAATTGATTACATATATATTTTATATGTATAATCATGATTCAACGAGTAAAGTAGTTCGTGTTTTTTCTTTAGATTTCTTTATGTAGATACTTAAATTTTTGTTTATAATTTCTTATATATAAATAAGATTTATACATAATTTTAAATATGAAATGAAATTCAAAAGATTATTACTGTATTTTAAATATATTATTAAGACTATGTTTTTAATGAAAAAAACAATCCATGGGTTAGTGTATATTAGCTCTATATTTTTAAAAGTAAGTAATATAATTTATTGCTAATATAAGCAATAAATACAAACAAATTACTGTTTATTACTTGTAAAAATTCAAGATGCACATCAATTAGTTACTAATGGGAAAACAAATTTTAGTCCAATTCATTCAGTGCTATTAGAAATAATCAGTTTACAATCTATACACATTATAATATATTAATTAATTTGTTACAAATTAATGTAAATCTATTTATAATTAAAATTTATATTGACATACATATACTGAATAATCCTGTATAAAATGTTTAACAAATGCTGTCTTTATTTAATACAAATTTCATAATGAATATAAATTAAATTAAATTAATAAAAAATTATTCATTTTTATATTATTTAATTATTACATTTATGTTTAAATATTATAATATATTTTTATGCTAACAAGACATTTAATTTAAAAAACTAAACCTTAAAATGTTAGTATATAAGAAAATATTATTATACTCTATATCATAAAATAATTATGATACAAATTAAATGCTTTGCTGAGTTTAATTTTCCATATTTCGTCCCAAAAAAATAATTTTATTTTACTTCAATAATTAATTTTGACAAAAATGATTGGCCGTAAAAAATTTAATATATTTAAATATAATAATAAATTTAACTATAGCAATAAAGTGATATTTTTACTTCTACATAAAAATGAACGTAATTTTTGTAAAAATAAAAATGATTTTACCCTGACAAGGATCGATTTGAAGATACCCTGTTTGCGACGGATTCTTTCTGAACTAAGCCATTAATGTTTACGTATTTTATCGAGTAATTCTCGTATTACGATTGTCATAGTATCTAAGAATATATAATTTATAAATGTATAATTTCTGGATTTACAAAATATAATAATTATTTTGTTTTTTTCTTCAATGAAAAGAATTATAAAAAAATATACTATTGTCAAATTAATACTCAGCAGAGTTATTATTAATTAAAGATAATAATAAACAAAAGTAAATTACGTCAATTATAGAATAATCCTATTTTATACTGGTAAATTTTATTATAATAGGTATAATATCAAATACCGAAACAAATATGACATACAAACCGAACCAAAGCAATTATGACTACAATTTAAGAATAAAACAAAAGGTTTATAGAATCCAATATTTTTTTAATTATTAAGCACTTTTAAAATGTATTCATCTACTAATTAATAATAGTATTAATTAATTTTTTCATTAACGTAATAGTTTTTATATTTACATTATACTTTTATCGATATTAATAACTTAATGTAATAAAATTGAATTACTTTACTAATTGTTATTTTACATCAGACCGCACAACTTATAATTATAGAAATTTTGATATAAATAATATTTTTATCCATAAATTTTAAATATAAATTTTAATTTTTAATAATAAATAGAATTTATTTATTAATATTTAATAAAACTAAAAATTTATTTGAACTTTTAATGAGGTAATTTATTCGATACAATCGTTAGATTGTTAAATTAATACATTGATTTACTATTTTTATACTCATAATTTTGTTTCATAAATATGATAATATATGAAATATTGTATTACAATTCATTTTTATTTTTCGTAATCAATCCTTTTATTTTTGAATTTTAAATATTTTTAGTTAATATAAACTCGTTATTTAATTTTAATTTATAATTTTATAAAATTTAGCTTAGATAAACGTTTTAAAGTTTTATTGACTAATATATTTTTTTCCATGGTTTATTCTTTTATATATGTACATATGTTTGATTTAAATTATACTAATAAGAATATTTAAATAATAAATTAATCATTCATCCATATACAATGCTTTATAATTATTCTTTTAAATATTTTTATTTGGAATACATATAGAAAAATTGTCTTTTCAAACTATTCTCTTTATTCTATTTTTTTCAAATTGTTTTGAATTTTAATAAAAAATTATAAAAAAAATTATATTAGCAGCAGTTCTGTTTTTTAATTCAAATTAGGAATTTCATTTTTATTATTTTTTTTTTATTCATATTTACTGGAGAAAAAAATAAAATGAATCGAATAAATTTAATCTCATTGTTTAAAGTAATTTTTTTTAAAAAGTAGTTTAAAGTACTTAATTTTTATAGTAACTACAATAATTTTTTAATTCTTTTATTTAATTATTTTAATATGCAAAATTAATTTTATTATAAATTATCAGATTTTAGGTATGAATTATAATTTCATTTATAATATAAGTGCTTAAAAGAACTCGATTCATCAAATCAATTTTTTTCAAATTATGTATTAATTTAGTGCAACTTATTAAATTTACGATCATTTCTATTTAATTTGACTAAATTTATAGTTTAAAGAACTAAATTACAATGCATTTAATATAAAAATTTTATTAAAAATTAATCTTTGACTTATAGTTTAATATAAATTCCTTATCGAATATTTTCTAAAAAAATACTATTACATATAATTAAATATTAATAAGTAAACAGTGTCAATCTTAGTTATTAAACGAGCTTCAGTAATTTGTAATATTTTTAAGAAAGTCCTATATGGATTTTTAGAAATTTTATATAGTTGCCACGTTTCTTTTATTTTTTGCTTTCATATAAACTAATTTAATATTAAATTAATTAATTCATATTTGTTATTTATATAATAAAAATATCCAGTAGATTATACACATCGTAAAAAAATTAACATGGTAATAAAAATTAATTTCTTTTATATTTGAAATTTTTAATTATTTTTCTTTAAGATGGCAAAATTTTATTATTTACTAAATTATTTAACATTCTTTCAATTTTACTGAAAATTAGGTACATATTATTAAATAATTATACAAAAATTAATGTCGATTTACTAATTTTATTAAATTACATAAATTTAAATATAAATATTTATTTTTAATATAAAAAATAATAAATAAATTTATGTTTTGGGAATATTTCGCAATTATAAATTTGACTATAAATATATAATTTAAGCTGTTTATAAAATTTTAAAAAGATAATAAATAATTAAAATTATTTATTTATTTATTATATAAATGCAAATATATTAAAGTTATAATATATTATAATAAAAATTAATATATTAATTTAATATATTAAACTTAAAATTTTATGTAATTATTTATATTAATATTGTATTATTATAATTGATAAAAAAGTGATAATAATTATCAATTTTTAAAACGTATTTAATTTATTATTTATAATACTAATTTGTATTCTTGCATAAAATTTGAAGTACTTAATTTAAATAGTATTAGAAATTTGTTTTCCATAAAAAGAATGTATGTTATTAGTAATCAACGATAATTCTGAAGTACCAATTTACATTTCATGTTAAATTTGTTAATTTTGAGTAAATTTTCATTTTATTTGTTTTAGGAGTTTATTATGTTTATTTTAAGTTTTAATTTTATTTATTTTACGATTTAAATTTATTATTATGGATTATAAATTGGTTTATTTAAAAATTTAAATGTATATCAAAGTCAATAATACATAAATTTAAATATTTCAGTTTTAATTATGTAATACAATGTTTACAAAGTAGGAACTTAATATATTACAAAAACAATAACTTAATATTTAAATTAATTAATTAAAAGCTTTTTAAGAAATTAACTATGAAAATTAAATTAAACTCATAAAATTAATCTAGTAAGTTTTCTATTGCTTAATAAAAGTATTAATAAAAAACATAAATCTAAACTATATATTGGTTTAATATTATAAATTTTTTAATTTCAATTTTCAAAGTATATGCATAACTATAAATAGCAAATAATTAAGAGTTTATACATTATTATAAATGTAAATATGTATTCTTTTTAATGTTCATTAGTTGAAATGATATGAAATAATAAAATTATTATAAATGCTTAATAGAAATAAAGAAAATGTATTGATGATTTTGTATTAATAATTTTACATTAATAACTAACTTTTAATAATTAAGTTTTTTTATGAAATATTTCTTATTTGAAAATTTTAATTCTTTGATTAAATTATAAAATAGTGAATAGCTCGTACCCGCAAGAGAAAAAACTTCATGTTATGAAACGAAAAATTTAAATGTGTGTACCTATTTTTTAATTCTCCACGCTGGAAGACTGCTGAGGAAAGATTGTGCCAAACATTTTGAATTAATTGTTGATGGTATTGATGTTGACATTGCTGATGTTGCTGAATTTCTTTATTATAGAGATCGGCATAACTAAATCAATCGGGTGACTTTGAGATCTTGTTGGTACCATTCGAGCATTGAGGATGCTTTGCAAAGCATTTGTTAAAATTGAGGTTGAAGTCTGCTTGAGCAGGTAATCTGAAAATAATACCGTATCAATTTCTTTGCATTAATAAAAAAACATTATGCATGTGTACAAAATTTCATAATGTATTGTATTGTCATTATAATTATGAAATTTTTTAAATTCTATTTTCAAGCTTCATATTTTTTATGTATATTTAGTTTTATAATTAAATATGCAAAAATATAAACGATTATACGACTTTTTACGTGAGTCTGTAATAATTTTATAAGCCACTGATTTAAGCAAAACAAATAACTATTAGATAAGCAGAGCAAGAAAGAATAACGTAATGAGGTTGAAATATTTCATAAAAAGAGAACTACTGGAGTATATGGAGAGGAAGAAGAGAAAGACGTTATATATTTTACAAGGGTTGCACTATTTTAATCATGTACTGTAATAATAATGAGTAAAAATTCGGATAAATTATTTAAATGATCAATAATTAACTGTGGAATATGTATTCAACAAACTAAAAACAAATCAGTTATTACGATGTCTTATAAGTTAACATACCTTATATTAGTATTTATTTATTCTCTACATTTCGATATAATGTCATAAAATATTTAATATTATAAAATATTATGCATTTTTATGTAAAACTAAATATGAAAATTTTTATTATATAAATAATACATATATATATATATATATATATATATATATATAAATTCTAATTTTAATGGTCAACTGTATCAATACTTAATTTTGCAATATAATGAAAATCTTTATAATAAATTATTAAAATATATAATATAAAATGATAACACTATGTAATACAATGATCTGCAAAATTAAAATATTTTATATGTTTATAAATATTTGTTAATCGATCTTAAATATTATTAGAATATTATTAAAATTATATTAATTTATTACATTTCTTAATTAATATAAAAACTTAAAATATAAAAATTTAACTTTGTATAAATCGAATAAAATTATAAATACAACTCTATATTTAATTAAATTATATTACTTAATGTGACTATTTTATGATATCAAGAAATTTATGATATCAAAATACGTACAACTTCACGTGCGCATGCGTATATATATTTTTTATTTTTAATTATAACGCAAATTATATATATATATTTTTTTTTTGATATTTATAATTTTGATATGTTTCTAAAAATATTGATTATCAATATTTTATGTTTTTTCATTTTATATATAAACAATTTTTTATTCGAAAAATATGAAATAAAAACAATTGCTTTGAACTATAATGAGTAAACAAGGAATGTTTAATAATGTAGGTAAATATATCGTGCGATTAGAAATTTCATAAATGAAGACTATTTCAACTACATACAATAAAAAGATTTCTATCAATATTGATAACTGTATATATGGATTGACTGGAAAAGTAATTTAACAGAGTATTTTAAATTCTGCTACGAGTAAGAAATTTTGGCATCTCATTGCACTTTTTGAAAGATTAAAATAAAAAGTTGAACGAATGAACAAACAGGGAACAGGAAAAGAAAAAGAAAATACAGAAGAAAGGTAGCCCTGAAGAAAAAGAAAAAGCTACAGTACATACTTAAAGCAATAGTGTGAATTGTGAGCGTGAGAACTTTCTTAAAGAATCCGTGCGAGGTGTTCGGCTGGATGATCCCATGAGTGTAGAACGTGTTGTAGTTGACGTATCGCAGGTTATCAGAGACAGGCTGATATAGGTGATGGTGCTTTAAATTGCTTGACATTGAAGTAATCGGTTGGAGTTCACTAGCTGAACATTGGACCAACACTGATTTACCAGGTTCTATTACAGAAATTGCAAAAGGTGTTGTTTCCATTGAATGTTCTAAATTTTGGTCAAGTTGTTGTTGTTGTTACTGCTGCTGTTAATGACTCAATGGAATATTAGATATTATGTTAATATTTGAGTTTTCTTTTGATCGTACCCAACTCTGCTGAAGAAGATTCAGTATTACTCGAATGTTGCCAGCCATCGAGTTTTCCAGAGAATTAAATTGTCGCATCAGTTGATCTATTCTTGTATTTATTTCATCCAGTGGCCGACTAGATTCACTTTGAAAGTTGTCTAAGTAAGGGAAGAAATATTTTTAAATGTATAAATTACCTTATTAAAATATTCGTTTTTCTTTTCTATTTTTGTTGTAGTAATTAAATACTTAATTAGAAACTGACTTAATTATATTCTAATGTATTACAATTTTTTTTCAATAATATAAATATATCTTTATTATTAAGACTGTATTATACATCAACGTTTTATTTTAATTTTTCATAATATTCCAGTTCTTGTATATAGGGAATCATATATTTGATAAATATGATGAATAATTCATTAATTCAGTCTTTTAAAAAGTAATTAATTAACTATTAAGTTTACATTAGTGTTTTATTATTAATTAATTACTTTATTTTAAAAAATTAAAAATTTATTTAAGGTGTTTAATAGTATTTATATTATATTGTTTCAGCTAAGTATAGAATAATGGTTCGGATTAAATTGTTTTTATTGGATCTCAATATTAAAATACATAAAAGATAGATATTAAATAAAAATGCTTTCAATACTACCTATTTTATTTGTTTATGTTATACATTGAATTTGAATTAATTAAGAAAATTTTTACTCTTAATTTGACATTTATAAAAGAATCTAAATTTCATTTAATAAAATACTCAATTTGTACCTCTTATTTTTTATTTGCAGTCTTTGTCATATATATATATATATATATATATAATTTATTCATATATTTATTTTCATTTTAATGCAATTGCAATACATTCACGCATATCCTTATGAAGTATATATCAATTTGATAAAAATTTGTCTTAATATTGTACTTTTTAAAAATCTTTTTTAAAGATATCAATAAATAATAAATTAGTAAAATAATTTCATTGAAAATTGGTTTTTTAATTATTGTGATTTAAAGTTATTATTAATATTATTAATATTATTAAAATTATTAATGGTATTAATATTATTAATAACCTTGTAAATGAGATTGTTGCGGTGGAGAAGATGCTGAAAAATGACTACACGTCAATGATGTTGGAAGAATATTTTGCAATAAAGAATTCTCCTTGCGAGTTGAATTTTTTCGAGTCGATCTAGATACGAGCGGTGAAGATACTGAGAATAAAAATAATTTATTAGTAACAAAGAGTATATATTTATTATTTTTTACTTTTATGTATTCAATATACATTTGATAAGATTTTTCAAGATTAAAGTTTACTATAAAGATTTTTTTATATATTGTATTTGAACTATATTCATAAATATACAAATATTTAGTATATAACAGCTATTTTGCAGATGTTAAAGCTGTGTACATCAGATTCTATATATTTAATTTATAATTTATATTTCTATATTAATTTGAATTTAAAATTATAATTGTATATTAATTTTTATTTCTTATTTCAGTGCAGAAAATTTTTTTAAAATATAACATAAGGATGATTGTATTTTCAATATTAATTATTAAAAATTGTTATTGTATAAATAAAAAAGTTACAATATAAATATTTTAAAGTTCTTATATTTCAATGTTTGTAGTATTATCTTTAATTTTTTAAATAATAGGAATAAATTAAAATCAATTTATTAAAGATCAACTATAAATATTATTTTGTATAATTATAAGTATTAGTGATTCTTTATATTTTTAAAATTTAATTTGCTTCATATATAAAGTGCAAATACTATTTATAATTACAAATAAATGTAAAAACAGATTTTTATTTTTAAAATATTTCGATAATTTCTTTAAAAAATCATAAAAATGTCCATTTCTAATAAATATTTATCTATATATATGTATATATATATTAAATTTAAGTCAACTCATAACATAAACCAATAAAGGATATCTATAAATAACATAAAGCATTATAATCTTAGCTATTATAAAGTACTCAATAAGTATAACTTTTACAATAAGTTAATATTAATAAATTTAATATTTTATATTAACTATTTCATTTTTTTTAATGTTAACTAAAATATTTAATAATATTTAGTAGAATAAAATAAATGGAATAAAAATATGATAATAATAATTGTAATGAAAAAATAGATATGTCCCAACTAAAAGATGAAGCATAATTATTAGATAGCAAGATAAGCATGCAACGAAATTATTACCAGTAAATACGAAGATATTTTTTAGATGCATAACTCACTTTAAAACAGTCATAAAAATGAAATTACAGTAAATTAAAATATGATTTTCATTTTATTTGTTTTAATTAGACTGAAAGAGCTACAGAGGGCAACCAATAATATATACTTTTATTTCTATTATACTTACTTTGTTTAACAAGATAATCGTGGTTTGCTCTTGGCTGAAGATGAATTTTATGTTGGTGTAAATCTGGAAAACTATGTTTGAGATGAGTCAACATGCCTAAATAATCAGTAATAAAAGTTAAAATTGGTATTGGTAAAAATTCTAATTAAAATTTTAAATTGAGAACTTTATTAGCCATTAAAAAAGCATTATTTAACTATTGAATAATGTATATATTAAAATTCAATAATATTTATTATAATGATAAAACTATTGGAAACATATTTATTCTATAAAGAAGAAGTAAAAATTTTATATAAAGTTTCCCTTGTACAAGAAATTGTTAGCATTATAAGAATAAAGAGTTCATTATTTTTCCTTTTATTTAATCTATTTTTCTTTATACTTTTTCTTTATTTTTTTACTTTACCTCTATTAGATTTATATAGAAAGTAATTATTTTGAGTAATTGATTTTCTAAATACGTAGTTTATTGTAAATTATTATTTCAAATATTAATAATAATATTGTCTATGTATACAAAAATTCAGTTAATTATTTATTATTATATAGTCTAAAGGACTTTTTACAAAAAATATGAAGCAAATTGTAATTAGCTATGTAAATTAGAGTTTCGTTATTTTTATACTATATATACCACAACATAAAATAAAGCAGAAATAATATTTTTTATGCGATATAGATATTTTTGTTAATCTGAATAAAATTTAATGTAAAAAGACTTATTGAATATGAAATTATTAAATTTAATTTTCATTAAAACATTTTTTTTAATTTTTAAATTTATTGACACAGGCAAAATAATTTGAATTATACCTAGATATTATGATTTAATCATTATATATAATAATCAGTAACTATAACAATCTAACTTTAATAGTTTAAAAATTAATAAAAACAAATATTTATTTAAATTTAATAATAAGCAGTTAATCAAACTTGATATTATTTAAAATATAAATATATATACATATATTAGATTTAATTATATTATATTTAATATCTGAAAATAAAATATACAACAATTTTATTAAGTATATTTAAAAATTTTAACTTTATATTAAGAATACTTCCATAAATTAAATTATATTTTGTAATAAAATTATAAAAAATTATCTATCTTATATAATATTTTATAGAGATAAAAATTCGAGTAAAAATTAATTTTAAAATTTAGAATTTAAAGTTTTTATTTTATGTTATAAAAAAATTCTATAAATTTAAATCAGCAGACGTTCTTTTTATATTTTGAAAATTTTTTCAAATGTAAAAGTAATAAGAATCTGATTAACGTATAATTTAATGAAAAATACCTTTTTTTCTTCACTTTAAACACAGTTATTGGCGTTAACATTTTCATGCTTTATATTGAAGCATTTTATATGAATGCATATACATGTAGAGAAATTTAATTTAATAGTAATGTAGTTCAATAATCTCGACAAAATTATGTTTTTTTATTGTATTACAATTTTACATCAGAATTTTCAGTACTATTATATTTTTTCTATTTTTAAATAAATTTTCTTTTATTATAATAATTCTGATTTTTTAATTTATTTTTAAGCCAAATTTGTATTGATTATATTGATTCTAAGAAAATTAACCTTGTATTAGATATATTAATTTATAATAAATTTTAGTATATCTATTATAATAAAATATATTTTTTAAACAAAATTATATTTTTATTAAGTTATTTATTTTAAGGACTATCTTAAAATTAATATTTTTTTTTCAATAATTTTTGTAGAATTAATTAAAAATTTGAGGGGCTCATATACAATTCTAAGAGATATGTTAATTCTCATGTTAATGAGATATATTGTAATTGTCATATACAATTCTAAGAGAGAGTTTTTCAACTGTATAGGACCTATTAAATACTGATATCATATGCTATGGGGGGGAGGGGACATATAATGTACATTATCTTGCAATTATAATAGAAAGCAAAGTTTTATTTCTTCTTATTTTTATTCATTTCCTGAAAATACTTTTATTCTAAATAATTTTGGTTATACTAGAGTATAGTAATTTATTTTACTACAGTTGGTATTTAATGTAGCACATCCGAAACAAGAAAGAATAATAGAATAATGACAGAAGAAATCAAAGGACGCGTCTTACTCCGTTACTAATGCGTCTTTGATTGGAGAAAGAGCTTATCGCCAATCATAAAGATGCAATAACTCGTGACATACTTGTTGAAGCATGCACTGTAACTGGATTCATGGGCAGTATTTAACATCTATTTATTGCGTTAGTTGGACTAAAATGATTCTATTTAAATTATTTGAGACAGTCAAGCATTGTATAAAAGTGTAAGAAAATAAAGATGAAAATCTAGATATGCAAAATATTAGATATTAAAAAGATAACTAGTGTCTTCAATTAGTAGCGTCTGAGTGATCTTCGAATTCAAGTCATATGGAATTTAATATCAGCTACATAGATAGATAACAGTTCAGTATATACTAATATTCAAGCGAATTAATTACTTAGTTTAGTAGAATAATAAATTTTGAATTTAGATACATGATATATCAATTAACGGAGATTCATTATAAATTGTCTAACAATTATGAGTTTATTTTCTTTTATTATTTCAATATCTTTAATAATGTAATTTTAATATTTAATTTAATTTAATTTAATTTAATTAATTTAAGTTACAAAATGTTTTTAAATTATCTAAATTTAGAAAGTATTTATCAGAAAAAGGTGTGAAAAATAATAGTCGATATTGGCATAAATAAACGCATAAACAACTATTACTTATTTTAAAATTTGAACATTCTTTTTTCTATCTACAAATTAAATACTTTAATATATTCAATAAAATTTTAAATAACTACAAATTAATACAAATTGACTTATTATTGGAAAGTTTTATGTAATTTTTATCTTTTATCTTTTTATTTTCCATATTTTTATTATACTTAAAATTATAATAACAATTAATTTTAAATCTGGTTCATTTTCAAAAAAGTAAATTATTTATTTATAACATTCAATTTTTTCGGAATCAATTAAAAATTAAAAAATTACATTTTTTAAAATTATGATATACATTGTATTACATTAATATTGATGTAAAAGTATTATTTCTTATAAAAGTATTATAACTTCTAAATTATTTTTTTTAATTTGTTTAATATTTAAAAAAGTAAATTAAGGTTCAGCA